TCATCCTTATTCTGCACCTTTCCATTTTCACCTGACAATGTGTTCCGGTTTTGGTTTTTTGCTAACAGACCTCCTGCCCCCACACCCACAACAGAATGGCAAAGCCCTTGGGGCGCTGCTCTTTCTTACCTGCCAGCATTTTTTACGAAGCCCAGGTCAGCTAGGACCACGTTACAGAGCTCACAACGGAAGCATTCTGGGTGCCAATTATTATTCATTGCCTTGATCACACGTCCAATAATGAACTCACCTTGGAAAGAAAAACAACCCTTAGAGGCAAACAGGAATACATTTCAGCCAGAGTCGTGCCCCAAAATCCACCATCGTTCCTTTTCAATACCACAGTATATTCGGACTCACTGAAAATACCACTTTTTCCCCCACAACAGTTCTGCAAGCACATCCTTCCTAACCACTGCCACAATAATCCTCTGGTCCTTTCTAGAGATCTTGATACTTAGAGATCTGGGTTAAAATTTTCATCCCCAGGGATCCTCTACCCCATGACTTCTACTGAGGGAAGCGAAGAAGCTAAACAGTTTTGCATGCGGAGAGCTTACCGCATTGCCCGCAGCAGGGTGCAAACAGCATCTGGAAATCATGCTCACAATACTTTCGACCCTCAAACTGTTAACAAAACATAGGAAAGAAAGTCCATAGTGAATCACAAACTGCCCATTGTAAACATTCAAACTACTTTATTAGAGTTTGCAGATGGCAAATATGTAAAATTTTATCATTTCCATTTCCAATCCTCTCTTTGGTTGCTTGTTATTGCCTTGAAAAAATCCTTGGAAGGTGACTCTTTCCATACTTTGTCTCAGCCCCGTGGTGAATTTTCTTGGACAATGGAACCAAATCAATGCAGATCTGTTTACTTTGAGCAGAGGTGCAGGAGAAATCAAAACCAAAACCCACACAAAATCTATAATGAGCTTTTCTTATCCTTTTCTTCTGTGTTCACATACTCAAAAAGCCTCAAACTTGACATGACAGTTGTACTCATGGAAAAATTAAAAAGATCTTAGCAGACTTACATTTATATAGTTTTCAAATTGCTTGTTTGTACATATGCTATAGAAAATTTTACAGCTAGTTTTCAGACAAGGTCACTAAGGGTACATCTACACTGCACATTTATTTCAAAATAAACTATTCCGGAATAGTTACTCCAAAATAGCTTATTTCAAAATAGCACGTCTACACTGCAGGGAAGCCTCAAAATGAGTCTGAGTCAGGCTTCCCTAATGTAGACGTGCTATCTCGATTTAGAGCCCCAGGAGAAAGAACTTAGAATGGCCCTGGTGAAGGGCTATTTCAAAATAGCTATTTTGGAATAGGCGTTATTCCCTGTAGAATGAAGTTTTCAGATTTTGGAATAAACGGTCCATTATTTCGAAATTATGGGCATCCAAAAATGGGAAATTCAGAAGTGAAGATTCTGAGAAACATTGAGCCTTAGCTTCTGAAATAGGAGGATTTTTTTCTTTGGTGCACTACACAACCACAGAAATTGTACCCACATGACCATAAATAATTGCGGATGCAAAATTCTACCATTTAGGCATTTTTAAATACCTGTCCTAATTTGAACTTGCAAGTTAGGTATTTATCCATCACTATGGTAAGACTTATGCCTAAAACTTTATACAAACAAAACACAGGGACAATTTGAATTGAGTCAAACTGAAATCCATCTGAAAACTGGGCCCTGAAAGGAAGCTTTCAGGTCAAATGGCAAAAAAAATTAGACTTTATAAAACATGCCTTTTAATATATAGGATGTGCATGCAATGTGGTTAACATTGATACAGGAATCTTGTGTTATGGATTTCCCAACTTCTGCATGTGTTAGTCCTCTACCTTAATATGCTAATGTATGTTTTTAAATGTAGTTTTATATTCTAAATATATATTTTTCTGCTCCACTGCATCCTAATTTTGCTTAATTTATGTTTAGTCGGGATGAGAGATAAATGACTTTCTAACACAACTCTGGATCTGTCAATAAAGTCAGTAAAGCTTAGGATCAAAAGAAATCAACAAGATTAGGGAACTGAAATTCCATATCTCCTCAAAGTCTGCCCATAACCGGCCAGACAGATTTCCCAATGAGGAAGACAGCAGTATATTTAAACACATGGCTTGTTTAGAGTGTGATCCTTTCAAAGTTAAGAGTCCCAGAAAAGCCTATGAGGTGTGAAAAAGCCTATGGGACTGCTAACAGCACAGGACCTGTTTGAGCTAATACGAAGCTGATTTCGTGAAGAAATCTGACTGGGCCCCTCACTGTGAAGACAAGATTCTGTGCATCATCTGCCCCATCAGCTTGAAAAAAAGAGCCAGAGCAAGAAAGCAGGAAAGGAATGAGTAACAAATTCAGATACAGAATATGTGTTTGTGCAGAACTGGAGGAGTAATTGGCCATGATCTCCTGATAACCTGAGGATGTATCTGAAATGTATCTGACCAGTCATATGACAACAGTAAAGATCAGGACAGATAAGGTGGGGCCCAGAATGTAGGGAGGTTGGGGGGCTTCTCCAGCAGTGCAGTGGATAAGGTACCCACCTTAGGAGCCAAAGGTCAAGGGCTCAAGCCCCACCCCCAACCAATGTGGACCTGGCACCCTTGGGACATAGAACAGATAAGGGAGGGCCCACCCTTCTCCCACACTGAACAAGCCATGTATTAAAATAAGGGAAATGGTAATATCCTACAACTTCAATGCTTCAGCCTAGAGCATCTTCCTTTTTTGCTAGGCTTCCTGCTCTGGTTTTAAAGAAATAGTTCTAGCATGCTCACACCAGCAAGGGTCACAAAATAGAAGGAGGCATCTCATGTCTGCAGGGGATTTCAGTTATCTCCACTGATCTCCCAATCAGCAAAGAGCATCTCACACTCTCATGCCATATATGTCTGAAGAAGTGGGTGGTCCACAAAAGCTCATGATACTATATATATTTCTTGCTAGCCTCCAAAGTGCTACAGGACTTCTCATTGTTCCCATGTCATATGGCTCTGGACCATGAACATTTCACCTGGACCTGATGAGGTAGCCCTTCACTCCAGTGGGTTTGGGACCCCTGCTGCTTCAGATTTAGCAGCAATGTCTGATGCAGCCTTCTGAAAGGGCTAGTTACACTGGGAAGGAAAAGACAGTGAGAAACACTGATACCAGCAAAGAACGGCACTGGAAGCTTTGCCCTGCCAGACCTGGAGTGCTCTCAGTTTATAGAGCTCGCTGAGAGCCACAGATGCTCCATATTTCCCAAGACTGGAATTGTAAAGGAGAAGTCACAAAACTTTCTATAGATTCATACAGGCAGTAACCTCACCTCATAGAAGAGTCCATCTGGGAACTGCCGGAAACACTGAGCACAGACAAAGCAGTTCTCATGATAGAGTTCCCCGTTGCTGTTCACAATCCTTTCGGAGGGATCAAAGCGAGCCTGGCAGCGCTCACACACGGCATTTGCGAGGGCATCAGACATATTACTGAGGAGGAAATAAAAGGTGAGTAGGAAGGGGGCAATGTTATGGCTATGAAATGAGCATGCATAGACCATGCTAGTACTATTACAGTCACCAACATTAGGAAGTTTCTTCTTGTTTTTCATCCCTTTTTACACGAATAAGTATGATTAAAATAATGCAGCATTCAAGGGAATGGAATCAAGTTATTAAGAATCAATGTCAGATGTATGTTTACATCCTACACAGACAGGACACATATTTACATCCCACACAATGTCAGATGGAGGTGACAGCAACGTAATTTGCAGAATGATATGATGGATTCATTTATCATGAACCTTTGACCACATTGCCTGCCCTCTGACAACAAATCCCCGTCACACCTATTTATTCCAAACACCCTCCATTAAAACACCAAACCAACAAAAACCTTGTAGAGGTTAGTCCTTTCCCCTTCACATGTATAACTGTCTTATCCCCTTTCAAAAAAACATCACACTTGCTTGAGGCCTACGATGGGAAAGCATGACTCCAGGTTTTCTATGTATTAAAATGTGATCACTTTAAAGTCATCTCTCTCATGTCCTTACAGGGCTAGAAATGGCAACTTTTAAAAATGGGGAAGAGAAGATTCCTAATTTCTTAATGGGACCAGCTTTCATTTAAAAACTGGAGCATCCCCAGAGTATCTGAAGTTAGTGTGGTTTTTATCTCTGTTAAGATGTTTTTGTTAATCCCTCTGAGCTCTGCATGGTTGGAGTGGTGGTAGCATTACAGGTTGATACATATGAAAAACAAACCCAATTAATATTTTAAGACACGTAAACATTTATAAAAGAGCCTTCATGACACAGTTGTTGTTTATACAGAGTACATGAAGGGGGTATAAAAGGGTTAATCAACACTTTCATATGACCTGCATAAATTTCTTCTTCCTTTGTTTTCACTTTGTTTGTAATATTAGTCTATCTTTACTTCATGCTATCCATAAAATAAAAGACTATGTCTTCCCTAAGGGGAAGGGTGAGTATCTGTGCTGTAATACACAGCTAGATTTCATCAGCACTATTCTGTTTTATCTTGTCTTCTGCAAAGAAAACAAGAAATCAATAAATGTATTTTAGTAGTAGCAACTTCTCCTTCCTGTCTCAGAGGTGCCGACAGAGTAACACACCTGGAAGACAGAAGACTGATTCTCCAATGCCTTGCATCTTGTATAGTCATTTACATTCCTGAAAAGTGAACATAAAATAATTGAAAAATGTATCGAACTAGAATTTCCCACTAAGGCTGTGTCTAGACTACATGCCTCTGTCGTCAGAGGCATGTAGATTAGACACACAGGCAAAGGCAAATGAAGCCGCGATTTAAATGATCGCGGCTTCATTTCAATTTACATGGCTGCCGCGCTGAGCCGACAAACAGCTGACCAGCTGTTTGTCCGCTCAGCGCGCTAGTCTGGATGCTCCCCTGGTGACATCAAAGCCCTTTGTCGGCAGCCCCGGGAAACCTCATTCCATTCTTCTTGAATGTGGTGAAATACTTGAGTTTACAACCAACTGTAGGCCATGTAGTTTAGACGTACCCTAACAGTGGTGGAAACGCTTCACTTCCATTTTGCACAGGTACAAGCCAAAGGAGAACCATGACCACTGATTAATTAGATTAAATAGCAGTACTAATTTAGAGACATTACAATGTAATTTGTTTCCTCAGTGCAGAGCAAAAGGGCCATTACACTTAGAATCTCACCAGAATTATGAATAGGCAGGAAATCCTGTAACCTTTGGCCCACAGTTCATGATTTACAGAATCTCCAGACATTTCCCTAAGCTCTGCTGGGACAGCACAGGAACAGTCAGCCCAGGATGTTAGTGTTTGTAGCAACACAATCACAAGGCCAAGCAATTTGTTTCCCATCACAGTTTTGCTTCAACTAACGCACAGTCCAGGAAGGTTCATAATGGTAGGATTTTAATAAGCTCACCACTAAACACTTATTCAAATCAACCTGGAAAAAAGCAAAACAAACCACTTGGCCCGGAAGTTAAACAATAAAAACAGGCACAGTATTCTAAGTATAAAGCTGAGGAAAGAGTCTAGATGTGTGGGGGGAAATGACAGTTCCTATGACTAGAGAGAGAAAATGGGTGAGGTAATATCAAACCTGAAGAAGAGCGAGCGCTCTGTAGCTTGAAAGTTCACCCTTTTACCAACCAAAGTTGGTCCAATAAAAGATATTACTTTACCTCACCCACCTTGTCTTTCCAATGTCTTGGGCCCAACATGGCTACCAAAACACTCCAAGCTTTGACGACTGTCAGAGATCCACATATGCTATAATACTCCCCATGTGCCCAATATGAAGCACAACAAAGCACGTTTCTAGTTTCCCTTGGTCACAAACTTTAGGTTATTAAAAATAACCCTGCTACTTACATTTCCCTTTTAAATTCATTTTAATTGCTGTTTCAGAAAGAGCATGGCTTCCTACCACCTTCCGTTGACATTGAGGTCTTATGACCTCAATACTGCAAGAACGGAACTGGCCAGCATAAAACAACTGTGTAATCTGCAGTCATATTCCTCAGGGTCGTCAACTTTCTAATGGCATAAAACCAAACACTTTTGTCCAGCTCCTGTTCTGCCCTGCCCTTTCCATCCTCCTCCTCTTCCACTTTCCCTGGGCTGGGAGAGAGGGGTTACACAACTGCAGCTAAGGATGCAATCTCTGGGGTGGGGCCAGGGATGAGAGATGTGGGAGGAGGCTCTGGGCTAGGCTGAGGGGTTTGGCATATTGGAGGGAGTGCTGACTCTGGGAGTGAGTTTGATGCGGGAGGAGGCTCAGATCTGGGGGTTGAGATACAGGGGGGGCATGAGGGCTCCAATTGGGGATGTGGGTTGTGGGGTGGGACCAGGAATGAGGCATTTGGGGTGTGGGAGGAGCTCTGGGCTAGGGCCAAGGGGGTTGGGGCATGGGAGGGGGTTCAGGGTGTTGGCAGCACTTACCTAAGGCAGCTCCCAGGAAATGGCTGGCTGGTCCCTGCAGCTCCTAGATGGGAGGAAGGGGGGGCTCCGCGCACTGCTTGCTCCTGCAGGCACTACCACCACAACTCCCATGGGCTGTGGTTCCCAGCAGGGATGTTAAAATTAGATTAATCAACTAATCAAACAGGCAATGAGATTGAAATGCTGCATGAAGCTTGGGGCCAGTGGAAGACTCTGAGTTCCCCACTGGCCCCAGGCTCCATGCGGCGCTTCCGCTTTGAAATGTACAAGATCCCCAGCGGGAGCTGGAGTGGGGGGGACCAGCTTTTAAACCAGCCCCCCCCACTACCCACTCCTCTTCCCCACCCTTGCTGCCTCTTTCTGATAGAGGCAGCAAGGGGTGGGGAAGCAACTAGTTGAGCAGTTGCTTACATCCCTAGTTCCCAGCCAACTGGAGCGGAAGAACCAGTTCTCAGAGGGGGACAGCAGGAGAAGTCTCTCTGGCCCTCACCCCACACCCTGTATGCCTACTAGCAGCAGGGTCCTGCCAGCCACTGCCTGAAAGCCACAGAGTTATGGCACATGGGGAGCCTGTCTTAGCTACATTGGGCTGCTGACTGGATTTTTAGGGTGCATCTACACTGCACCCTTAGCTCGAAATAAGCTACACAATTTGAGCTACGCAAGTTGCGTAGCTTATTTCGAGTGTATTTCGAAATAGCTTATTGCGTAATTCCAAAATGTCCCTTTAATCCTCATGGAACGAGGTTTACAGGGACGTTGGAATAGTGGGTCTGTTATTTCGAAAGATATTTCAAAATAACGGGTGCGCTGTCAAGACGCGGAAAAGCTATTTTGGGATACCAGAAGTATCCTGAAATAGCACCGTTGTGTAGGCATACCCTTAACGCCTAGTCAGCACCACCAGGATCCCTTTTCAACCAGACATTCCAGGTGAAAACCAGATACCTGGCTACTCTAATGTCTCCACACAGAGTAAAATCCTTGGAAAAAGCCAGCTGTAGTGGGATAATCCCTACTAAGAAATAACTATTTGTCATGAGAGGTTGTAGGAAATAGTCAGATGGCAGCATTGTCCAAAAAAAAAAAAAGATAATTGAAATGTAGGGTCTAATCCTTGACTGACCCCCTCATTCAGTAAGACAAGTAAGGTTTGAGGGCTGCAGATGCAGGAACTTCTTTTGGTTAAAAAAAACGCCTCATAACCCTGTAGGAAATTAAGAGTAAAATGGTTTGTTCTTTTGTGTGGCTACATTATTGTCCTCAATCTCTGCATTAGCCTGAAATACAAGCTTGAAATGCAGCTCAGGATTTAACCTGCAGCTGTCAAAGAAATTCATTCAGCACACCTACTCTCAAAAATGAGAAAATGTCAAAAGCTATGGGATTGGATTTATGTTTATATACACAACGCCCATTACTAGAGCCCTGCAAATCTGGGGATATCTGCTTTATATGGAGGCAGATATCTGCAGCTCATTTTTGCGACTACAGAGGCAGATACACATTTTTTATCTAGAACCTTGCAAATTTGCGCATATCCACGGGTGTCTGCATTCGCAAATGTGGATGTGGATATCTGCGGCTCATTTTTGCAGATGCAGATACAAATTTTGTATCTGTGTAGGGTTCTACCAAGGACTCCTACTGCAAACGAGCAGCTGTGGACACCATCAAAACTCTCACCCTGTAAGGCCATTCCAAATGTCCCAACACTCCTGTTACAGCATTAGATTGCCAGAAGCAGCAAAGAGGGTAATTAGAAGCTACAACTGGTAATATAGTCCAAACACCTCTGGGAATTGGAGAGGAAAAAAAGTGAATAAAAGTAATTGAGATTAAAGAAACCGGCAAGAGGTCTGTGTGGAAGCCATAACCGGCTCATGAGTTGAAAAAATACAACTGGGCCAATAATCTGTTCCTTAAAGATAAAACACAAATAGGACCCAGTAATCTAGGGAAAAAAATGTTAAGTGTCTGTATGCAAAACTACATAGTACATACACATCAAA